CAGGTCCACCCTGCCACCATCAGGCTCTACGTGCCCAAATCTGACACCTTCACCTTTCTGCCCTCCCTGCCCAAACCACTGGCACCTGCCACAACCCCTCCCTCATGCAGGGGCACCGTCTGTCCTTTTGCATATACTCAGAACCTGGCCGTTAGCCCCCACCCCCGCCTTCCCTCCCTGCCCCTCCCCTCCCCCTCCCATCGGGCACTGGGTTCTGTCCATTCTGCTAACACAGCGGCCAACCCCCCGTCCTCGCGGCTGTCCCTGCCTGGTGTCCAGGGCCCAGTTGCAGCTTTCAGCTGGCCTCTCTGCCTCTTGTCCAGCCATTCCCCAGCATAGCACAGGGGCTTTCCAAAAGAGCGCCTGTGAACAGGGGTCCACCGCGTCTTTGCTGCCGCCCACTGGATGGATCCCAAATTCCTGCTCATGGCTCCCAAGGCTGCTGGGAGCTGAGCCCTGCCCACCTCCCCAGCCCCATCTCTCTCCCTCTGTCACATACACACAGCCCCTGCAGGCTTCGTTCCCTGCAGGAACGACACACCCACCTCTGCGTTAGCGGCTCTGCCTACCGGAAGGCCCTTCGGCCTCCTCGGCCTGGCACCCCTACTTGGCTTTCGGAGCTAGGTCTAAGGCTAACTGTGCTGTGAAGCCTTCTCAGGCCCTCCCCCTCCCAGTCGGGTGCTCCTCACCCTCCGTCACGGAGCCCCCTATCTGTCTGCCCCTCCTCTAGTCTGGAGCTTGGTGAGGGCAGAACTGTGCCTGATTCCTCTCTGTATCTTGGGGGTCTGATGCCATTTCAGTGTTGGAGCAATGAATGACCGATTCATGAGGCTGATGGTGGAAGAGGGGTACCACAATTCTGGGGTGGGGGACACGGGAAGGCGCGGCAGCTGGTGCGCCGGGGGCGCTGCACGGAACCGACGGCGCGGCCTTACCTTCAGGGCCGCGGGCGTGTCCTCCAGGCAGTAGACCCTGAGGCTGTACTCCAGGGAGGTGCAGAGGGCGGGGACGAAGATGGCCAGCTGGAGCCGCTTGACAGCCGAGCGGGAGTAGGACTCACCCGTGAACACGTAGGTGCCCAGCTGGTCCAACAGGATGTGGCAGGACCTGGCCTCCAGCTGACAGTAGCAGGGGGTGTTCAGGGTCTCCTCGTCCAGAGTCACCACCTCCTGCAGGGTGAAGCACACAGGTCACGGCCGTGGAGAGGTCCACCCAGGCGGGGCCAAGAGAAAAGGGGCTTTCTCTCAGCTTTGGAGGCTTCCCAGAGCAGGTTCAGATAGCGGGCCCGGCCTCCCAGCCTCGGCTCCTCACCTCCCAGTGGCCCTGGTGGGCCTGGGTCTTGAGCTGGAAGATCCAGTCACCATTGCTGACTTCAGCACAGTGGGGTACCGTGAGGATGACGGGGCGGCACAGCAGGAGGCCCGTGGGCCCACAGGTCACCGAGGGGCTCAGTACTGTCTGGGTCCCTTCTGAAAGTGGGCTGGGGAGATGACAGAGGGCACGGGGCAGACAGTGAGGGGAGGCTGGAAGCTCAGCAAGGGCTGGGACTGGTGTGGGGCTCCCGCCTCTGCCCTGGCTCCTGGGTGGCCCAAGGCAGGTCTCCACCCCCCTCCCCCGGGGCTCCCAGAGGTTAGGGGTTAAGGAGAGGCAGAAGGATGGCACAGGCCTTAAGATTGTTCTCAGATTTCTGCTGTTCACGGCCAAGTTCTCACAGCCGTATTTTTGTTCGCGTTTTCAAGGGTTCTGCGCTCTTGGGATGTTTTGGACAAGCGTTGCTAAACTGCCCTCTAGAAAGCTGCTACCAGTCTGGGCTCCCGGCAGCGTGTCATGGGGGGCCGAGTCCCCACGTTTTTGTCAATATGAAGGTTTTATCATATGAAAAAAAAATCTGTAAATTCAAGAAGTAAAAAACTCCTAATATCCCATGGCTGTTTGAATTACTATTTCTTTGACTACAAATTAGGCTGAATATTTTTTCAGAATCTACTGGCCTCTGTGTGTGTGGGTGTGTGTGTGCATCAGAGAGAGTATGCGTGAATCATTTCATATCCTCTGACCACTTCTGTAGTGAAATGTTCAAAGCCTCTTTACATAGTAAGGATATTAACCTTTTGTCATAAGGTAGCTACTTTGTCAATTGCCTTTCAGTTTCGTGATTAGTCTAGCAGGTTTTGTATGTAATAAGATCTGTCAGTGTCTTCCTTGGAGGACTACCTCTGGCCTTAGGATCAGGCGCAGAGTGGGGGATGATGATATCTGAACCCAGGGTGGACAGGTAGCAGGGAGAGGAAGAGGAGGGGGGCAGCCCAGGCCGGAACTGAGGTCTCTCTACTCACAGGGTGTTCTCTGCCTTGTTGATAAGGAGGTACATCTCATAGAACTTGCCCTGGGGGATGGCTCCATTGGGCACCAGCAGGCTGACCCCTAGGGGGAGAGGGAGGTCAGCAGGGAGGGGCTGGAGGGAGTCTAAGAGCTTAGAACAGGGGTGGGGGGGTGGCTCCTAGCTTAGGTCCGGGGTGGGGGAATACATCTCCCAAAATCCAGGTGGTCAACAACAAGGGGTGGAGAGAGAAACTCTGGGGATTCGGTACAAGGACAGACCAGGTCACTGACAGTGGTGAGTTTGGCGGGTAACACAGGGGTCCCTGGCATTGTGAAAGGTATGAAGATGGCAGAGACTCCAAGTCAGAAGGCCCCAGTGCCAGCTCCAGCCCCAGATCCGTTTGAAACTGGGAAACTACCAGTTTCCTTTGCAGCCTGAGATGGGCAGCCCTGCCTTCCCAGTGGTGCTCTGTAGGTCTGTTGAATTACGAAGAGGTATTCTCTCCCACTTAGCAGATGAGGTTTACAGAGTGGCTCGTCGAAGGTTCCCCTGCCTTAGTGGGGCAGAGAAAGGCCTGGACCCCAAGTCTTCTACTTTATTGTCCTTCTTCCCCCTGGGCCTCATGTTTCCCATCTGAGAAAAGGGATCAGGGACGTCCTAGCTTCTATCGGTGGAGGGGGTGCTGGGGATGCCTAGAGGGGACATGCTGAGGCCGGGCTGAGAGGCAAGCAGAGCAGGAGCCCACCTGTGCCCGGGATGCTGAGCCTCCCACCCAGGCAGCCGAAAGTGCCGCTGACGCTGCTCCCCGGGTCACGGGGCAGGCCCAGGAGCTGCTGGGGGCCGAGGCTAGCACTGCGCAGGTGCAGGAAGTGGGCATCCCGGGTGAGATCGCCGGAGTATGTGCCGGACGGCAGGACCCCCAGCAGGTCGGCCCCATCGGGCAGGCCTGGCCCCGAGCCGCTGGTGCTGGAGTTGTAGACCTTGATCTTGAGACTGGGCAGGGGGTCCAGCAGGGGTGAGTTGGTCATGGGGATCTTGTCGGCTGAGTCCTGCAGGGCATACACGGGCCCGCGGTAGATGCCAGCACTGGCCGTGAGGTCCGGGGGCGCCGACGGGTGCAGGAGCTGGGGATTATCTGCAGGGGTCGGGGCTGCCGTCAGACCCAGCTGTGCCTCACTGGCCGGCTCCCATCCTCTGCTCCTGCCGGGGGCCCTTCTCTTGCCAAATCCCACCCAGTGTTCAGCTGCCAAAGGCTCAACTGTCATCTGCTGCAGGAAGCTTTGGGGACTCACCACCTGGGCTGCTGCTCTTCCCTGTGTCTCTCTGATCTACACTCATCCAGTTATCTGTAGAGCAAAGTCTAGGAAAACCCCGGGAGGGATCAAGAGCCCCCGCTGCGGTCTGGCTGGTCTGGCCGGCTGCCCTGCCCCTCTGGGTGCCCCAGCCTGCATCTGCCCCCCCGTTCCCAGTATCCCCAGGTGCTTACTGGGCCTCGCAGTCTTGAAGTTGACAGGGTGGAAGCCGCCAGTGAGGGCGGCGGACGAGTCGGTGATGTCAGTGTCGAAGTCCCGGCAGTTCCGGCGGTATACCACCACGCCCACCACCATGAGGACGCCCACGACCACGAAGGCGGACACCACGAGGCCTGCGTACAGCGCCACGTCCCCCGAGGCCTCCAGCACTGCGGGCCCAGGAGAGCTGCGTGAGACCCAGGTCCCGGGGCAGAGACCCAGGTCCCAGGACAGACCTGCGCTGTGCTAGGTCCTAGTCTCGGCCCCCCCACGACTGGCCGGGACCTCAAGCAAGCCTGAACCACTCTGCACATCGGTCTCTGCAAGTAAAATGGCCTCAAGTCCCCTGCCCTGCTTTCCTCCCAGTGCTGAAAGACAGGCAAAATGACTCGTGGTCTGTCCCAACAGTGAACTCATGGCTCATTGCTGACAAAGAGACAAGGGCTGTGGCTCAGTCTGTCCTGTCCTGGCCAGGAGGTTAACTGAGGGCCCCACTGCAGCCTGCGGCATATCCTCAGGCCGGAGGTCCCGGCTCCCAGAACTCTCTGCAGCGGCCGTCCTGAGCTCAACTTCCATCCTCTGCTGGGGGTGGGGGTGGGGATGGAGGCAGAGAAGGAGCATGAGGAGGGAATGAGATGCAAGGCGATGTGGTGGAGAGGAGGAGAGCAGGTGGAGGGGAAGGAAGGGGCTCAGGGAGGCCACCCACAGCTCACTTCCCTCCCCCAGGCAGGCCACTACCCAGCTGCAAATACCCCTGTACGGGCCAGGCAGGAAGGTGTCAGGGTTAAGAGGGAGGGTCTACACGGCAGTGCCATCCAACTGAGCTTTCCACAGCGACGCACGTTCTATGTCTGTGTTGTCCCAAGTGACAGCCACGAAAATGTGGCCGGTGTGACTGAGGAACTAGATCTTTAACAATGTATTTAATTTTAACTAAGTTAACAGAAGTTGAGAGAGCCACCCGTGGCCAGTGGCTACCACACGGGACAGCACACAGGCTGAGCCCAGATACCTGCTCTTCCTTCTTGTTTGTTTTGGGAGCTCCAGGAAGCACAAGTCCCGTCTCCCCTCCTGGGGGGTGGGGAGGCCTCAGAAAAGTAGGCCTGCTTTCCCTGCCTGGACCCTTCCAAGCCCCACTTCCCTGGTGCAGACTGAGCCTTCGGCAGGCAGGGCGTGGCTCAGTTCTGGTGTCTGCCTGCTTCCGCCGCCTTCTGGCCCCATCTCTCCTCAGTCGCCCTCATTTTTGGGCTCCCGGAGGTTCCTGGCCCCCGGGAGAGCTGCCAGAGGAGGCCCTCAAGGGCTTGGCTCTGCCTCCTGATGTTCTCCCTGGCCACGGGGGGACACCGGCCCAGCCCCCCCTCTGAGCTGGGCCCAGGGCCTCACTGCTGATTTTATGATTCTGGAATTATTTGGAAATTACGGTTTAATTACCACAGGCCAATCTGCCTGAGCAGCTTTACTGCTCTGGGGCTGCCACAGCACAGCCTGGGGAGGAAGCTGACCAGCCCCTTGGGGCTGACGCTGGGCAGCGGGTTTCCTGGAGAACCTAGTCCCGCTGTTGGGGGTACAGTGAGGGGCTCCGGGTTGACAGTGTGGGCCTGGGTGCTGGCCCTGTCACAGAGAGGAAAGCTGAGGGTGCAAGGCTAAGAGCACCAGCTTTGGCCACATAACTAGTTAGATTCAAATCCTGGCTGGATCCCCGGTCAGCCCCTTCCTCTCTCTGAGCCCCATCTTCTTCCGTCATGGGAGGCTCGGGACGGTGTCCTTTCTGTCAGCTGCTGGTCTGCCTGTCTGCACGCGATGGAGGTCGTGACGCGTGCCGCACCGGGGGCCGGGGGACCCCATGGAGGGTGGGTGAGGGGGCACCTTCGAGTCTCCCTGTCCCCCACCCTGCCCTGCACCCCACACCCTGGAAAAGCCAGTCAAGGAGAGCCAGGGATCCCCCAGAGGAAAGAGGACAACCATGAAATGGGACTTACGGTGGCTTTTGGGGTCACTTAGAGTTTTCTTATCTGTCGAGGGAAATAAAGGGAAAGACAATGACACAGGTGGCAGAGAACGGGTGGTGAGGTGACAGGAAACGCGCAGATGAGATGATGCATGTGGCGAGTGGGCAGAGGCCCCCAGGGGCTGCTCCACCGCAGCCCGCACCGGATGCCTGAGGCAGGCTGGGGGGGCCCCACTCATCCGGCTCGAGCCCCCACCCCCAGGGGGCCCCGCTGTCCCAAGGACTCACTCTGCACGCACAGCCCGTCCGTGCAGTTCTTGGAGTCGAGCAGGGTCCCGCTGCAGTCTCGGCCTCCGTTCTGGGGCGGGGGCGCCATGCACTCTCGGCTGCGCCAGTGGGCACACTCAGTGCTGCAGGCCGACCACTTGCTCCACTCCGTCCACGCTCCGTCGACTGTGGGAGCACGGCACACAGCACGTGGGACACAGTGCGGTTCCGCACACATGTCCCCGCGCGCTACGGCAGGAGAGGGAGCCAGACGCAAGCACAGCCACCCCCAGCCACGGGGCCCTGTGCCAGTGCGGCCGGGGGCGCTGGGTGGGCGGGCAGAACACACACACACACACGGTCCCTCACACAGACGCAGCCCAGGGCACTCACAGGGACTCAAACCCAAGGCAAACACACAAGAACATAAGAGCCGGGACAAAACCAGGCATGCAAGGGACCCACGGAAGGGGACGCGCAGGGTGAGGCGAAGATGAGAGGAGAAGAGAGGACCTTTGCAGGATTAGGGGTGGCAGGCAAGACGTGTCTAGGTCAAGGGCAGGAGCACAGGCTCCTACTGACCCCAGGCAGTGCTGGGACCCTGGCCCTGGGGGCTGACACCGAGAACCCGCAGCCTGGGGGCAGGAGAGCCCAGCCCTCCGATGGCAGCTCTGTGCCTGTGTCTGTCTCTCTAGCAGCCGGGCACAGAATGAGAGGCCAGAGGCCGCGGCATCCCATCCGGCCTGCTCCGCCAGCTGCGGGCCCCAGGACAAGCCCCTTCTGCCCCCCACAATGGGGAGAGAACGGCCATCCTGAGCGTGGCAGCCGACACAGCACAGAAAGTGGGGCTGGGAACTGGGCTGGGAACGGGGGTGGGCAGGCTGCCGGCTGGCCTGCGGCCTTACCTGGGCACACGGTGGTGCAGGCGGTCTTTTGGAAGGCCTGGCCCTCACAGAAGGCGCCTCCATTGAGCGGGGCCGGGTTGGTGCAGGTCCGCGTGCGCTTCTGCCAGCCACGGCCGCAGCGGTTGGAGCAGGGCGACCACTCTGCCCAGCTGGACCAGCCACCGTTCACTGCGAGGGCAGCGGGTGTCACCTGCCGGGCCTGGCCCTGCGACCTGTGGGCCCCCTACCCCATCTCCAGCCCCCACGAGGCCCTTCTGCTGAGGCCTGGCCTTTCCTAACTGGACCCCTCCTGCCGTAGCACCGGGGACAGATCTGGGCTACAGCCATCAGCACCAGAGGGGACCAGGGAGGTCACGGTCTATCCCCAGCCTCATTGTACAATGACAAACGATGGTCCAGAGAGCGCGGACGCTTACCCAAGGTCACCCGGTAACGGAGCCCGAAATAGGGTTCTTTCTACCACACTCGAGGCATCTCAGCTATGGCTCTGCCCCTCCTGCCCAAGGGAACAGCAAGGAAGAGACTGCAGGCCGAGGGGGCCGCTCCTCACTCTGCTGGGACGCCAGGCTCGGGCATGAGGATACCGACTGGGCCCCGTTCCAACCCCAAACCCAGGAGGGCCCGACTTGACTGCTAGCTTGGCTGTGTGATCTCAGTGAGGGCACCTCCCCTCTCTGGGCCTCAGCCGCCCAGCTGCCCACTGGGGCCCTGCTGGCCTCCTGGGCAGGACGCGGTGAGTGGGCAGACGGCCCGGCTGCCCCCGGGTGGGCCGTACCGTAGACGGTGATGGTGGCGGAAGTGCTGCGGCGCTTGGCTACAATGTTCTTGGCCACACAGGTGTAGTTGGCCGTGTCCGACAGGCGGGCCTGGCGGATGATGAGGTTGTGGTCAATGGTGAGCAGGAAGTTGGTGTCCTGGGTGGGGTCGATGATGTCCTCATTCTTCAGCCACTCCACCTGCAGGAGTGCGGTTGCGGGGGCATGAGGGCCCGCTGCCTACTCACCTGCATCCCGGGGAGTGGGCCCTCTGTGGAGGGGAAGGGAGGGCGGCCAAAACCAGGACAGCAGTTCTCTGCAGGGCCGCCCACGGTGGGGACACGGTGAGGCAGGCCCTCCACGGGCCAGGCCCTGTGCTGGGCGGTACAGAACCCAGTGCTTGGGACAACCACCCAGCAGCTGGACGGCCTCAATTTCATCGAACGGAGGGCGGCATTTATTAGCATCTACCCCACAGAGATGTTACAAGGACCAAACACGTTAGTGTGGAAAGTGTGAAGAATAGTACTCAGCTCCCCAGACGTGCAAAGTAAGCATTAGCTAGTAGTGCATGCCTTCACCGTTAAGGCAAAGGCCACGCGGGGTGCATCATGTTTAGGCCCACGCATTACGGAGACCCTCTGGTGTCCATAAAGCTGGCTCTTTGGCTTCTGGGTGGGGAAGGAGGATTCGGCCACAGGCTTAGTCTTACAGGAGACTGAGCCTGGGGCCTGCCCAAGTAGCCCTTGGGGATCTTGCCCCAGCTCTGCCCCATCCCTCGGGGTTATGCCTGTGGAGGGCCTGGCTGGGGTCCACACATTCTGAGTTCTGCAGAGGTGGTAGTTCCCTTCTCTGTCTCAAGCCTTGATATTCCCATCTATGAAATGGGGAGAGCTCTGGGAGGCTGAGGCACCGTGGCTGGTAGTAAATACCAAGCCTGGCTGGTCTCTGCCATGCCTAGTATTCCCCTTGTCCCCCCTCACCTCAGCCACAGGCACCCCCTCCGGTGGGCGGCACTGCAGGAGAACCTCCTGGTCCAGGGGCACTTCCTTGCCCAGAGGCTCCTGATCGAAGTTCTTGCGCAGGTCTGGGAGAAGGAAGAGGGGTCACCAGGCACAATGAGGTGGAACCGAAGCCTGAAGCGCCCCACTCTAGCCACTAGGTGGGAGTGCACACCAAGGGAACGGGCTCGACCTGGGGCCTTTCCTTGTCACCAAAGTGGGGCCTCACCGGGTGGAGCTGGGGGAACAGGTTTCCCTCCCTGACTGTGGGATACTAAGCACAGAACAACCCAGGATGGTGTGGAAGCAGGCAGCTCCCTTTACAGAAGTAGGTGAAAGGGGCCGTTAGAAATCCTGAGGCCAGAGGTGGCCCCGTTCTGGGTCTAGGAGGCTTCTTCTGAGCGGGCACCCACGGGCCCTAACGTCCCTGCGGTGGGCATCTTCAGCCAGGGATGCCCCCACAGAGGAGGAACTTCCTTTCTGGGGGGGGCACGGGCAAGGGGAAGGGGAAGGGGCCCCGGGGGAATGGGGTGGCGGTGGGGGTTGGGACGGCGTACATGCGATGCGGACGTAGGCCCGGCGACTCTTGGTGGTGCCGGCGGAGCTCCAGGCCACGCACTGGCACCAGTAATCCTCCAGCCCGAACAGCTCCTCCACCTGCTGCCGGGACACCTCGATCTGGACCTCCCGTACCCGCAGGCCTGAGAGGGGGAGATGGATGTCAGCAGGGGGCGGGTCTGAGGATAGGAAGCAGGGGCCATGGCACCGGGACATCTGTCTCTCTTCTGCCAAGTGCCTCCCGTTCCCATGTATTTCCCTGGCCCGAGCCGCCACTGCCACTCCCCCGAAGACTGCCCCGGCTAGCGCAAGCCCTCTGCCCCCGTGCCAGCCATGTCCTGCCCTAAAGCCGGGGAGTGCTCTGCAAAATGCACAAATGCCACGTCACTCCCCTGGTTGTGCCTCCGGTCCTCACAACACAAAGACCTCAATCCTCCACATGGCTGCCAGGCCCTACACCGTCTATCCGCCACAGCCTCCCTGGGCATCTTCCCCGCAGCCACAGGGCCTTTGCACATCCAGTTCCCTGCCTGGAACTCTCTTCTGTCCCCCCTGCGGCCAATGGACTCCCAGTCACCATCAGCTTTGGGCTGGGCCTCACTTCTAGAGGGAAGGCCCCTCTAACCCTGGCCCACCCCCAAGTATCACACTGAGCACGACTGGGCTGTGCAGTTCTCTTTCCCTGCCCAGCCTGGTTTCCCCACAGCACTGACCACTCTCTGGAACTGTATCATGTATTGATGTGGTCATGTATGAATTACATATTTCCTGCAAGAGAATAAAGCAGGGCTTTGCCCTGTTTACTGCTGGGGCCCAGGACCTGGCACAGAAAAGGTATTCCACAAATATGTGAAGACAGCATGTGGCCTCTCTCTGGGTAGGACCTGAAGCTGATGGGAGGCCCCTCTTCCTGGGAACCCTCCAATCTCTCAACAGCTCCCTACTAGGGCCTGGAGGCCTCTCTGGATAACTGGGTCCACCAGCCTGCCCAGGAAGGATCAGTCACTCTTCTGCCAACCCTCGACAAAGCCCCTTATGCTCAGAAAAGGAACGAACCCTTCTGGGTTAGGATGACCATCCAAAGCTCTTCCCCAAAGCTTGTGGGAGGACAGCAAGGCCTCCTCCTCCAGGAAGCCCTTCCTGACTACCCCCATTTTCAGAATCCCTAAAGCTGCTCCTCCCTGCCATGTGTACCAGCTCATCCTCTCATGCTTACACATGGGTTCTGACAAGCCCCTCAAGGGCAGGATTGCCAACACTCCGTGCTACTGTGGCATGGTGGTCAAGTGTAGGGTTGGATGGCTGGACAGGTCTGAATCCTGGCCCCAACCTGACTCCCCAGCTGTGTGACCTTCACTCAGTTACTCAGCCTCTCTGAGCCTCAGTTCCCTCATCATGGTAAGACACTCAGCATGACAATCACTTTGCCATAGCACCCAGCCAAGGCTGAATACAAATCTACTCTGGAAGGTCATGTGGATCTCATGCAGCCCCTTCCTTCTACATGTGAAGAAACGGAGGCTCAGAGAGGGTCAGTGGCAGGCCCGACATCCCACCCTTAAGGCGCCGGCAGAGCTGAGATCAGCTACCTGAGTCTTGGCCTGGTTAGAGCTCTACTCTCCCAGTGAAGTGCATTGCCTTCGCTCTCCTGGATCATGGGGTAGGATGGCCTTTGCACTGGGAGCCCAGACAGTGAGGAAAACCCCAGGGATCTAAGTGGGAGGGGGCTGGGGGTCTGCCATCGGGGAGCATCGGGAGGGAAGAGGCTGCTCCTGGGGGACTGGCTGGGCCTGCTCACAGTGGCTGCCCGGAGTCCTGGCTCGACCAGCGAAGCGGCGTTGCCCAGGCCAGCACAGCCGGGTGCCCCGCCCCTCATTCACCGGGCTGTGAAACTGGAAGGGGGGGTCCCTCTCAAGGGGGTCATCCATCCAGAAGCCCCCAACAGCTGGACAGACAAACCATCACCCAGTGGGGCTCAACACCTTGGTGATGGTCACCAGCAGACAGAGAGGGGACAAGGAACTTCAGTCGCCCAGACCTGGGCCCAGCACCAGGTGTGCCCCCCTCCGGCACGGCGGCCACCTGGCAGGTGGTGCCTGGGCCGGGACACCCAGGCTTGGGCTGCTTGCCCCAACCCGGCATGAGCTGGTGGCTGGGGGGCTTGTCTCGGCTCTTCTGGCCCCCAGCTGTCATCCTCTGTTCTTCCAGGGCCTCCAGGAGTGCCAGGGTGGGGAGCAGGAGGCTGAGGAGGAACCAGCCACACGGCCGCCAAGGAAGCGCCCACAGGACAACGGTCTATTCTTTGTCGCTAATGGGGACCAGAGTGCCCCAATTTTGGGGCCTGGCAGGGCTCGCGTGCCTGGTAGCAGGGGAGAAGGAGCCATGCTGTTACTATTACTTGTAATTGCAGGGTTTGTGAGAGGCCCCAGCAGGGTACACCATCCCTTTGCTCGGTCTAGACCCCCACCACTGACCTCCGATCAGGGCCAGAGGGGCTCAGGGGGACAGAGAAATAAGGACAGGTTTCGAGAGGAAAGAGGCCAAGAAAAAGCCAGAAAGAGGATAGAAGAAATGGGGTTTACTGAGTGCCTGCTGGCTCCTGACACTATGCTCAACACTGCAGGCCCCACCGTGTTCCACCCCCATGGGGACCTTCTGTTAACATCCCAGTTTACAAGGAGAGGAAGTGGGGCTCAGAGAGGGTGACGGACTTCCCAGAGTCACACAACCAGAGACTGGGAGCAGCTGGGGTAGGTTTCTTTTTTCTCTCTTTTAAAAATCGCTTATTTTATTTTTTAGATTTTGGGGGAGCATAAGACTCCAAATCTATTTTCTAAAATTCTTTCAAAACGTTGGTAAAATATATATATAATCTAAAACTTACCATTTTAGCATATACAGCTGAATGGCATTAAGTACATTCTGGGGTATGGTTTTAAGTCTGGGTGGTTCTGAAATCTGCGAGCTTTTCACAGAAAAACGAAGTTGGAAGGAGGGAGAAAGGAGAGAGAGTGAGAGAGAGCAAGTTGTGGGGGAGACAGAGACAGACATAAGGGAAGACAGACACAGAGAGACAGGGGTGAGAACGGAGAGGCCGGAGAGACAGAAGGAAACAAGAGAAGGCTGAAAAAGAAGGGAGAGAAGGATGAGGGAAGAGCTGGTAGCAGCAAGACCAAAGCAGAGGCGGGCTGTGGGGCGAGGGGCCCCGGGAACCCGGGCCTGGCTGGGCTGCCTGACACTGGCCACCTGCAGGTCACCAGCAGCAGCATGGCCCCGCTCCCTGGCCTGAGCCCTGGAAAGGACCCCCTGAGGGGCCTGGGGACACAGAAGCCCACACCTGGCCTCGGGGGCACTGCTGGGGGTGCCCAGGACCCCACGTGCATCTTCCTTTCAGGATCTGGGCTATGTCCTAGCACCATCTCTATGGTTATTTACTTGCTAATATCAACCTCGTCTTTTAACCGAAAACAGCTGATCTCTATGGAGGAGATGCATCCTTCTCATGAACGGGAACAGAATCGCTCCCCACAAACCCAGAGGCCCTCTGACGCTAACGATGATCTAGGATTCTGGGTACGTGCTGGGGGCCAGGGCTGCAGACAGGGCAGCTCCTCTTCATTATGCAAGGGGCATGGCAGGTGCTGGGGTGTGCGTGTGTGCCTGTAAGAACTCTAGCACCCGCCCCCCCCATTGCTCCCTGACGTAAGCTGGAGGTGGAGAGAAAAGGATTCGGTGCTCTTTCATTTGGTAACCCAATCAGACAGGGACATGTGGTCAACCGTTGGGGAGATACGGATCCAGGATGAACCCCAGAGGGGAAACTGAGGCCCAGGGGGAGCCATGGCTGTGTGAAGTCTCACACGGAGCCCAGGGTGGAGCCAGGCCCAGGACCCAGCGTCCCTGGCACCCCTGGGCCCTGGTGTCTTGGGGGTGACCGGACGAGTGGGGCAGGCTCACCCGTGGCCTCATCCAGGCCCTCCTGCGTGACGTGGTCATTCTGGCTGACCCACTCGCCGTTGCACTTGAAGTAGATCTGTGTGGCGGGGAAGGCACGGCAGCGCAGCTCCACCGGCTTGTTCTTCACGATGTAGGCGTCCTGGGGCTCCTGCAGGAAGTGGGGCAGGGGCTCAGCCGGCGCCGACGGGAAGGAGTCGGGGAGCACCTCGCTGCCAGAGTCCGTGCCTGTGGAGGGAGGGTGGGCTCCGTGAGGCTGCAGGCTAAGAGGAGGGGATGGGCAGCCTGGAGACCAGCCGGGATGCCCTCTGTGACCCCGGCAAGGTCTGGCACTCCTGGGGGCCTCAGTTTCCCCATCCCACCCAGCTCTTAAGGGGTTGTGCTTTGGAGCCAGTCCTGGCTCTCTGATACTGGGCTAGAAGATTCTACTTCTTTACAGATCGAGATGTCGGGGTGGCCTGGAGAGCTGAAGTGATCCATCTGGACGAGGATACCCCTCTAGCCCTCCCCAGTGTCCCCTGCACTGGACCTACTGAGCCTCCCTCCAGTTTCCCACGGTGATGCTCCAGGACGTGAAGGGCTGGAATGGGGCTGAGGCCAGAGCACAAAGCAGGCTAGCTCTGCCCTGAAGTCACAGCTGCCCTTTGCAGCCCCGGCCAGCCAGGCTGGTGCAAGTGGAGAGACAAACCAGGACCCACAGAGGCATGAGGTGGGGTGAGGTGGGGCGGGTGGCTGCACCGGGCCTGGATTCCTTGGAGCTTGGCACCCCCACAGGGCCTCCTCCTCCAGAATGCCCAAGGCAGGCAGCAGCATGGACGGGGAGACCACCTCCCCAGCAGCCTTTACACAGAGCCTCCCCTCCTCTGGGCCGTGTCTCTGCCCCACTCCTTAGCCTTTCCCACCTCAGCCAAACCCACACCCTCCACCCTAACCACAGACAAGAAAACTGCAGAGCCTGGGAACGCAGATAGGCTGTGCCTGCAACAACGTCCTCCCCAACAAGGGGCCAAATGGGAACACTGGCCCACCCGCCTCCCTGGAAACAACAGTGCCTCATGAGGTGAGGCAAACAGGAAGGGAGAGAGGCTGGCCAGCAGCAGCGCTGGGAGGGAGGGAAACCAGGCCAGGCCAGCCCATTGGTTCACCATCCACTTAGGAAAATTGACTTTCCAACACCAAGCGCCAAACAATCAGGTGGCTGGGACAAGCAGTGGGGGGCCAAGCTCCAGAGGGAACAATGAATTAAACTGCAGGAGTGTGCATCCGCCCAGCCCCTCATAGCCGGCCACGGCCTGCTACTGTTGCACAACCCAGTCCCTCAAGTGGGGGGGCGGCCCAGGAGGCACTTATCCCCCAACCCGGGAGGCCACGATGGGCCATGCATTGGCCCCTAGGTGCAAAGGGGCCAAGGGGACACTCCGTTCTCCAAGAGCAGAATGAACAAAACATGCCATCTCTTTGTGGACCAGGAGCGCCTGCTAAGACTTGGGGTGGGGGGGGATTCAGGCACTCTGATAGGTTGTCACTGGCTCCAGGCACTCGGTCCCGGGTGGAGCGTGTGTGTGTGTGTGTGTGTGTGTGTGATCTGCGGGAGCGAAGGGGAAGCCCGCAAGAAGGTGTGAATCCAGCTCCACCTAGCATGTTCTGTGTGACCCTAGGATAGCCCTTTAACTCCCAGCGCGTTACTTCGTCTCTGAAGATGGCAGGGAGGTAAACACCCTCCCCTGGGCTGCTTTGAGGACCACACAAGCTAGATAAGCATGAGCGCCCAGGAGGGTCTAGCACATAATAGGTGCATGAAAATGGCAACTAACGTTTGCCTCGCATTAGGTACTGTGTTGCTAGTACTGTACACAGTCAGCCTACCTAACTCTTGCAACAACTCTGTAAGGTACTTATGTTAGTCTTTGGTTTATAGGTGGGGCAACTGAGGCTCCGAGACGTGAAGCAACTTGCTCTAGGGCACAGAGCTAGCAAGAGGCAGAGCCAAGGTTTGAACCCGATAAACAGACCCCGGCAACTGGGATGCTGCCCACGCGGCTGGCCACCGGAGTAGCTCAGTAACATGGTGAGTGTCCCCACGTCCGAGAATCCTGATACATCCTGACACCAGCCAGGACCCCACAACTCTAAGAGCTCTCTCATTAAAGGGTCAGCAAGGTTGGAATGGTCCTTGTTTTGAAGATGAAGACCATCTGCGTGGGGTAATGACTGACCGAGGCTCCCTGGCTAGCGGGCAGCTAAACTGGGAAGAGCCCTGAGGATCCTGGGGCTTCTCCACGCCCACTTCCCTCTGCCAGGCAGGGAGACCCCTTCTTTGTAGGTAGAAGACTGGCAGCCCCTAGGCTCTGGGGGCTTGGGCAATTGATGGCAAGATGAAACAGTGCCCAGTGAGCTGGACAGTGTCTCCCAGGGGCCTGAGAGCGGGTGGAGCCAGGAGGGCCTGTGGGCAGCAGAGCACCTGCAAGGTTCCAAGCCCCCCCACCAACTGCTGCGAGCACCCTGCTTTGGTCTCAGGTACGGGGGGTGTGAGGCAGGGCGCAGACTTCAGACACAGCCACCTCTGGGTCTGAAGTCACCCTTCCTGACCTCAGGCACCTCATCCGTGAAATGCGGGGACCAGGCCTCCCTCTGGAGGGTGGGAGAGAAGGTGCATGGGAGCCTGTGAGTCCAGGCACCTGCTAGCTCTCCTTTCTAACCGTGCGGCCCCCAGCCCCCAGGTGATGGCTGTCTTCGCTCTCTGCGGCACTGCAGCCTGTATTTATGACTTGGTTTTATAACCCTAATGCGGCTCATTTATAAAGCAGGCGCAGACGCGGCAGAGGAAAGTAAACACGAGACATCCATTAGTGCAGCAAGGCCCGAGCCTGGCTTCCCCTGGCCCCACCTCTCCTCTCCACCCTGGCACAAAGCTTCCTCTCTGGCCTTGGCAGGGATGCGGCTGGGGGTCCTCATCGGTGCCTCTCCGGCCCGGCCAAGCAGGGGGGCTCTCGATGTAGCTACTTGCAACGTCCCCACCCCCCAGGTGTCCTGGATTCAGATGTTGCCAAGAGACAAGAAGGACCAGGTCTGACCTGAGAACAGGAGGACCACCGGCAGACTGTATGCTTGCCCGGCATGTAGTAGGTGCTCAGTGAATGCAAATTCAGTAAAATTGCTAAGCTGGGCTCCCGCCCTCATTAGTGGACACTTCTCCTTGGCTTGGCCCCTGGCTTGGGCCCTCGCAGTTGAGGGAGGCTCCACAGGCATTCCAGGAGAGAGCCAGCCTAGAGGGAGGAGAGTGATGGAGTTTCAGGGTCCCTGGGGGGCTTCCTCTGCCTGCAGCTTTCCGCTGAACTCACGGAGTCTCGCATCAACCCACACAGAGCTTCTGAAACTTCTTTGGTCTTTAGTGTCTTGGTAATTTTTATCCCAAGGCGAAAAGAAATTCCTGTTTATTAGATAGTTAGATCCAAACAGCTTGTGTGTGTGTGTGTGTGTGTGTGTGCGTGCGTGTGTCCTTCCTAACAACTTGGTAGCCATATCGTTGAAAAAACAATACCCATAAATCAGAGGTAAAAATAAGATTCGTATTCCATTCCTAAAGAGCCACACTGGCTAGTCACGGGGGTGTGCACACGGCTTGGGCACAGCTTCTCAAGTCTTGGAATCAGACTGGCCCCTCCACCCTCATTGTCTATCTCAGAGTACTTCCACCTCTGCAAAGACAGGATGCTGTGTAAAGGACAGAAGTGTGATACAATGTTGAAATTGAAAGCTATCTTGAGCAAACAGTTGTGGAGGTGTCCAGCAAGCTGTTCAGCACAGCTGTCTTTCCTCCAAGATGAACAATTTCCCAGAGCACCCCTGGGAATGTGTGCAGCACCCTGGGGTGCTTTGGCACACCGTTTGGGAAACTATTATTATGCCCCTTCTACAGACGAGGAAACGGAGGCCACGAGAGACGAAGTACCTGGCACAGGGCTGCACAGCCAGGAAGCAGCAGAGAGCGAAGGGGCAAATCCAGGCATTCGGGTACCTGAATCTGACTTCTGAATTGGAATTGGCATTTGCTTCCACTATGTGGCACGTACTTTAAATATTTTGCCCAATTTACTTCCCACAACCCCCAAGGTGACGATTATCTTCCCATTTTCCAGATGAAGACATGGGGCACCCAGGGACTTGCCCCATGGCAAGGTCCCCTGGTCAGTGGGAGGAAGGGCCATCTCTCCCCGTCACCTGTCACCCTGGCTTCGCTACAGCTCTTCACAGAGGAGACTCAAACACCCGAGAAGAGCCCCCAGCGGAGGACAGCCTGCTTCTGCCAGGCTGGATCCGGATCTGGAGTTCCGGCTGGCGGGAAAATATCCCATGTCAAGTGCATTTTTCTAACAGCAGGACTCATTTAAAAGGCAACCTGCCTTTAAAGCCACATACACGAACGGCCTGACTATCCCAGTATGAAGGTAGGAGGGCGCATCCTCGAACAGATGTAACCGCAGACGGTCAGACGCGGGAAAACGCCAGGAGGTCTGGGTCTGCACCCCAGCTGGGGGCTGGTGTCGCCGCTGGCCTTCCTCTGACCTCACAGCCCCCATCTCGAACACCGGGAAGCTGCTGGAACCAATCTCTCAAGCCTTACTCTGGTTCGATCACGTTGAGATTGGAAGGTGCCTTACCGTGGAATCTGTCCGTGTAGGATGGTGTCCCACTGGGTCCATTTTTAATTCCTGAAGCGGATTTCCTTCAAGCGTGGTCACCTTTTTTGCCACTGTTAATCCTCGCTCAAAGGCCCCGCACAGACCGTGGTCCTACGGCACTCTTTGCTGCTAGGCTCCGCCAACCAAGCCCAGGTCCTCCCACCCCAGGCCTCAGCTCACCAGGACCACCAGCACCTCCAGGTTGGACCTCTGGTGGGCGCCATTCAAACCCTCACTTCCAATTTACCTACAGCTGCCTGAGGGCCCTTGTCGGGTGGTGTCACGTGGATGTGGATTCGCAGGGAGACAGGTTACTGTAAGGGCCGTCTTGTACAATACCCCCCCATCCACTCCATCCAATCTTGACTCACATCCCTCCAGGGACAGGGAACGCACCGCTGCTTTTCTCCTTTGAACAGACCTAACAGAAAAGTCCTTCTTACTTTCAACTGAAATTCGCTGAGGTTCCAACCATTGCTACAATTTTAACTTCTGAGGTTCCACAGAAGAGTGGTTCCTCTGGAGTGCGGAGCTGCCTTCCCTGGC